GATCTCCCTCTGGAATCAACATTCAGTGCTGAACTCGAACCCGAGATCTCGCCAGAATCTTTCCTGCGCACCTCTTCAGCAAGAATTAAGTCACGAATATCATCATATTTAAGTTTGGTTTTACCTGCAGAGTTGCTAACTGCCATCCTCATGGCTTCCCAGCTATTTGGCAATGAAGCCAACAATATCAGTGCACGAATCTCATCGTCAAAATCAATTTCAACGGACGATAGTTGATTTGTAATAGTGTTGAAATCATTTAAATGTTGAACAACCGACACACCTTCTGCCATCTTCAGGTTGAATAACTCTTTCATCAAGTGCACCTTGTTGTTCATCGATGGCTTTTCATACATACTTGATAGGGCCGTCATATGATCTGTCGTCGTCCTCTCCTTTATGACTTTGTGAGCAACGGACCTCGAAGGGTTAATCGAATAACCCTCAGAATCTGTCGATCCAACAGATTCCAATCAGTCTCTTCCATCTTCTCCGGTCGTTTTCCCAGTAACGAAAGATGAAGTTTCTTCCCATAGAGGTAATCCTCTATCTGCATCCTCCAGTATCCAAAATCCATGCCGTCAAACTTCTCGATCCCTGAAACCTTCACTTCATCACCAGTCATCGTTCTTCCTCAGATCCGAATCGGGGCTCTGATACCATTATGAAAAATGACGGCAATAAAGCGAAAAATAGATAAAAAATTACACCAGAAAATTTGACACGTCGAACTTCTCGATCCCTGAAACCTTCACTTCGTCTCCGGTCATCGTTCTTCCTCAGATCCGAACCGGGGCTCTGATACCAATTGTTATAAAAAAAACGACGACAATAAAGCGAAAAATTAGATCGAGAAAAATTCACCGTAAAAAGGCGACACAAGATTTACGTGGTTCGGCAAATTGCCTACGTCCACGGAGCTGCAGAGGATTTTATTAGCTGAAGAAATCACACCGTCGAGCGCCTCGACGTTTACAAAGATTTAATTTTTCTCCTCTCTTTCTCTCTCTCTCTCCTTTATTCTCCTCTCTCCTCTCTTTTTCTTAAGCCACGTAAAAAGATAAAACAAAGAGCAAAGGAATTCCTTCCCAAAAGCAACATCAGCCTTTTTGTACCTTCCCCCTTCTTTTATGATAGCCGTAGGAGAGAGTGTATGGGAGTGGTGGTCTTAAAGGAGTTAGCTTTGGCTTTTATAATGTTCAGAAAAAACGCATAAAGGGAATGCATTAAATGGTCTACGCGGAGACATCCTTCCTGCGATTCCGCGGAAAGAGAAAAATGAGAGGCAGGAAACACAGAAAAGTGGGAATCACTATTTCGGAAGTTAATTAATCATATAATTAACACTAATGATTTCCTAATAAAGAGATGCACTAGGCTCCACATTCTCAACATGGTGGGAGACTGAGCTCCGGTCATCTTATATGCGCCTTTAAATTTGAATATAACACTATACTCTCAGGGGCAGGGGTGGTGAATTGAACCTACACTCAGGGGCGGGAACAAGCCGATGACCAAAAAGCTAATCTGAGTATGCAACGCATATATATATATATATATATATATATATATATATATCGAAATCAAATTAAAATTTTTATAAACAATTAAATTCAATGCTAAATTTTTAGAGAAATAGTCATGCTCCACTCGCCTGATTTTTCCAGCTATTAATAGTTGTGGGTATAAGATTGCGCATTCTCAATGATCATGCGGTACTAGAGACCAATATATCAGGTAACATCTATCAGATTATCATAAAACATAGTTACACAAACATATTATGTTCTTAACATAAGGAATAACACCAAACATTTAAAATAAGAGTGATAGAAAACCATACCCATATCTAACGAATAAGAATCACCAAATACACCATAATTATCAATAATTTAAAATGTTTATTTAAAAGAACAATAAAATATATTCATTTTAAAATCTTAGAAATATCATCAGCAATCAGAGAGACATTTAACTCAAACAAATTTGGTGCAGATGATAGATGATCAACTAATACATGTCACTTCCCAGGAAAATTGAATTAAAGTATAAATTACTCAAAAATCATCTATTTTCAAATATGAAAATACACAATATGTACAATTTAACATTATGTTTGGAATAAATACTAGACAGGAAATATGACAGCATTTATAAATTAAAAATAATTGGAGAAAAAAAAAAAAAGACCCGAGCTGCCTTCAACTAACAATACAACAAAGCTTTCAAAGGCTAATACCTCAGCAGCTGAATGTCTTGGTGACATCAAACATTTAATAAATATAAAAGAAAAAGAAAATTCACCTTAAATATTTCTGAATCACAACACTGCAGAGTTAATTTTGACATGGTATAGGCCATTTTTTTTTTTTCTGTCCACAGGTGTTTTAAAAACTGCCCCAAAGTATCATGATAAATACATCAAAATTACACCTCAGAGAGCTGCAAGAAAAAAAGAAAAGAGAAATGTCAAAAAAATGCTTAATTTTTAATGAGAAACAAAAATAAAAAACTTTAAAATATTTGTATCGCTTAAAAATAGAAAGAGAAATATGCAATATACATCGGTTTTATTAAGTTAGAACTGCTAATGAGAAATAAAGGGAGAACAAAGTCGAGCCGTCAAGCCTCGGTTTATATAGTTTAACCAAAACTGACTCTAAGTCCAATCATAAACATCAACTTAAAAAAAGCTTAGTTAGAAGCTACGCATCAAATGAATCTGATAGATTCTGGGCTAAAAATCAATAGCAAACAAGTATGCAGTAATAATGCCAGGTACAGAATCTATTGCTTAAACATTTAATATTCATTTGAAAGCTTTATCAATATCTATAATCTTTCAATAAAAATAATAATATGCTTCTTCGTGGCTCCATTTTTATCCTTAATTTCCAATTCAATGAAATAATCGACTCCTTGGGGTATAGGATTTACAGTACCGGACACAGTTTACAAATTCAGGGGCGAACATCTTTAATTTTGAAAATATATGGAGCGTACAAATGCCAAAACTTGAATAAAATACCAGACGTTGGCAAGAAAACTGTTTAACATTAAGCACGTTTTCGATCTCCATTGTTACATGTTCATCAGGAGATAGGATGTTGGCATAGCCTGAAAGGATAAAGAATGGCAAGTAGTTTATTTTACCAAATGGATTCACCTTAGCTAAGAATTTTGAAACAAGTAATAAGGAGAAAAACTAGGAAAATTTACATACACACTGATCAATTCTTATGTATTCACAAATCTAACACCAAAACTTTAATTTTTAAATACATACCACCTTACCTATGCATGAAAATGTGTAATTCATTTTTTGAAGTTAAAGTGGCATGTTAGATATGAAAATTTTGGTTGGCATAAATGTAAAAAGTAAAAGTTTAGGTGTTAGATTTGCAAATACATAAGAATTGAGTAGTATGTAGTGGTGTTATATTTGCAAATACATAGGAAGATTTGCCAACTCAACCTGAACCTAACCTGCAAACACAAAAGGATTTGCTCGTTAGCTCACAAGCTATAGTTTTGCAAGTTGACATATTCATGCTCACTGCTTTATCTTGATGCTAAAGAGAGTTAAACATCCCATTCTCGCACAAAGAAATTCCCCTTTGAACCATCTTCTACCAATTACATGCAAAGGGAAGAGGATTTCATGCAACGGAGTTCGTTGGGAAACACAACACAAGGCCAATTACGTGTGATAAGCTAGCAAGATTCAAAACTTTATTCAAATTAACTTTTTTCATGACTTGCTTCAACAAGCAAACTACGAATAAAGGGAGGTAACTGCTCACATTAGGCTCACCATTATAACAGAAATTTCTTTTGCTTTCTTCGCCTATGGCCCTCCCATCTGAGTGTGTACATAAAGAGAGAGCTGTGATTCACCTTTAAACTGAAATTATACACCTTCACCCACCCAATTAAATTGTAAGGGTTTTTACATACTTAGCACCCAAAACTATCATTTTTACGTATTCTATACACCAAACTTTAATATTACAGAAATCACACCCAAAATCCTTCTATTATCAAGTAACGCACTCCTTCTTAACTCCTCCGTCACACGTTAGCAGGCCTGCGCGGGAAAGAAGCTTGTGTTTGTTGGCTCTAGAGATGACAGTAGTGATGTTCCAAAGCCCCAACACAATGCAGCAAAGCCAAAAACAAATACTTGACAAGGAATGAAGCTTTTTCGTTTTCTCCGCCCCTGTTGTCTTCTTCTTCCACGCATTCGACAGGGAAGGAGATTGTTTAGTTTTTTAACCAATTCCTGATTTCAGCCTTTTCTCTGCCCCTATTGTCTTCTTCTTCCCTATGGTGGCCTCATCAGACTGAGAACAAGAGCAGAGAAAACAAAACACAGCTATGTTAAAAAAAATAAACATCCGTCTCAGAAGCAATAAAGGAGGCTTCTCTGATTTTCTATCTCTCGTTCCCCATTGCCCCTCCCTGCCCTTTTCCTCTACTCACGCTCAGTTGTTCTTGGATTCCTCGGCAATCTTTCTCCAATTCATCTTCTTCTTCTTTCCCCCTCGGGCCTTCTAATATAAGCTTTTGGGGTGCGATTTCAGTAATATTAAAGTTTGGTTAGTGGAATACGTAAAAATGATAGTTTTGGGAACTATGTATGTAAAAACCACTAATCCACAATACATTGAAATGCTTGAAAGTGAAATATTTGATTGAGTGCTATCTATGTGAAAACCCCTAATCCCCATTCGATTTCTCCCTTCTCCTTTTCCTTTCCCCTTCTACAAATCTACAATTTCAAGCCTCTCATTCCACTCAATCAAAATTAAATAAAAACAACAATTTCAATCTCAACCTTTTTCGCCAATGATTCAGGATGAATGCCAATCACTCATGCAAATAGCATCTTCTTCCCCTCTATCATTTTGAAAGGCGTCATTCAACCTTCTTATCCATAATACTAAAGTCAATGAACTTTGCCTTGAAAGATTGTCACGCCACTTTGGGTTTATATAAGGTCAGACAAATGAAGGAACTGTGGGAACCATATTGTTTGTTGGGTAATAATACACCCCCCTCAACAATAATATCAACTTAAAATTGTTCTCTTTTTTTTTTTTTGGGAAAAAATAGTACTACCCTTCCACCCCCTATCTTCTGTAGCAAGTAGCAGCAGCCTAGAAATATGAGCAATACTGTGAATACTCATGGTTCTACCGTTCTATATTGCTATCAGGTTTGTTAAGTGAGAAAAATTGCTAAGATTTTTTAAAACTCAAGGTAAATAACAAAGTGCATATTATATTAGTATTGATTCGCATCAACCCCTCAAGGTTCAGTCGGGACTGCTTAATGTCGAGATGTGTCTGAGATGGAAATAAGGTTGGAAGAATAAATTCTAATTCCCTTAATTAAGGGAATTAGAATTAATTGGTAATCCCTTAAATTGAGGGAATTAGAATTAATTTGTAATCCCTTAAATTAAGGGAATTAGTGAAATAGTTTCCTAGTATTTTCTACTTGTAATCTCCTATATAATACTTTGTATTATCAATTCAAAGAAGTGAAATACAAAATTATTTCTCTGAATTCCCACATGGTATCAGAGCCAGGGCTCAAACCCTAGAGGACACTGCCGCCTGTTGCCGCCATTCGATCCTTTTCGCTTAGGGTCATTCGGCTCTCCTCCGCTATTCGCCTCTAGGGTTGCTTGCAGCCATTTGATTCTTTTCCGCTGCTCACGAGGAAGATCATCAAGAAGCGCATAAAGAAGCAGATCTTGCGATCGCTCTGAGGATTCTTTTGTCGCTGAACCGTTGAATCCTTTGTTGCTAAGCCGCTTCTTTGTCGCTCCTGAGCCGCTGATTCTTTTATTCCTTCTTTGTCGCCCATGGGCCTCTTATTCTTTTATTCGCTGCCTTAATTGTTGTGATTCTTTTACCGCTGCAGCCGCTGATTCCAGCCTTAATTGTTGTGAATTCCTCTTCTCCACCATGTCAATGTCCGAAACCACTGTCTCCAGCAATTTCAACCCTTCCGAAGAATCCAATGTTGTTCAGAAAATTGGAGAGTTGCAGAATATTCGGGCATCCAACAGGTTCAATGAGAAGAACTATCTCAAATGGTCCCAAATTGTCCGCACATACCTAAAGGGCAAAGTGAGGCTTAATCACCTACTTGGAACCGGACCAGGAAGAAGGGATCCAGCCTCTACAGCATGGGAAGAGGACTCCATGATTATGTCATGTCTATGGGATTCCATGGACCAAACGATCAGTGACACTTGCATGTTCTTGAATACCGCAAAGGAAATCTAGAACTATATCAACCGCACATACTCGAAGGCCCGTGATGCTGCCCTTGTGTATGAAATCAAAACAAAAACCGAAGCCACCAAACAAGGAGACAAATCTGTCACAGAGTATGCAACTCTGTTGCAAAATCTTTGGCAGGAACTGGATCACTATCGAATAATTGAGATGAAATGTCCTGATGATGCTGCCACTTTGAAGAAGTTCATTGAGAAGGATCGGATATATGATTTTTTGGCAGGATTGAATTCTGAATTTGATCATGTTAGAATCCAAATCCTCGGCAAGGAGGATACACCGTCTCTAGAAGAGACAATCTCATTAATCCGAGCAGAAAAAAGTCGAAGGAGTGTCATGCTTGAACCACATACTATGGATGGGCCAGCCTTAGCAGCAAAAACAAATTAGGAAAAGTCGAAGACTGATCTGCTTAAACACTCGGGTAGAGATAACCAAGGGAAGTAGAACAAAGACAATCTGTGGTAGGGGCAACCGTGGGGGGCAACAAAGGCCTCGAGCGCATATGGCAGAGCAACCCAATATTGAGGAAAATTCAACAATAGAGGGGTTTAGCAGAGAAGAAATTGAGAAATTGAGAAGCTTGTTGGGATCTCTTGAGAAGCCTTCTGGAGCATGTTCGATAGCTCTTTCAGGTAAAACTATTTGCATCAATGTCTTAGACAAATTCTATACTAACTCTTGGATCATAGTCTTCGGTGCTATTGACCAGCAGGGTAAAACTATTTGCATCAATGTCTTAGACAATGTCCTAAAGCCTTTTATATGACCCCCACATCTCAACTCTTCCACGCCTATACCCCATGTCCAAGTAATAGAAAAATTATCATGACCAATGACTCCTTAGCTACCGTTGCAGGGATTGATGATATACATATCACACCTAGTCTTATCCTTAAAAACGTTCTTCACGTACCCAAACTGTCAACAAGCCTTGTGTCCATCCAACAATTGACTCATGATCTCAAATGTTATGCTGTTTTTTTTCCTTCTTATTGTGTTTTTCAGGAACAGGACTCGGGGAGGAGGATTGGACTTGCTAAGGAAATAAGCGGTCTTTACCACCTTGAACCATCCCAGAAAATTAGGAGCAATTTGTCTTCATCTTTCCTTAATTCCTCGAACAAAAAT